GTGTTCCAAATCCATCTTGTAAGTAAGGTGAGAATTTAACCAACGAAAACAACGTTGTTACCAGGTGTGATTCGACAACATAATCTCTAGTCATCTATGTGCTCCACATCCAATCCAATAAACCACGACTCCAGTGAAACATCCTCATCAGCATACTTGTGCAACATGTGCCTATGATCACAATCACAAGGACAATAAGTTCAAATACAAGACAAAAAAACATAAATGAATCGCTTTTCATTAGAGACACACACTCTTACTGATGGATTGGTATGTCAGTAGCCAAATCTTTTGAAATAGTATATATTTGCCCTGTACATGGTGGAAATATTTGTTTTCTTCCTCACCAAATTTCCATTACTCAGGTTCATAATATCTCAATCCCCTGTTATCAAAATGCAAGTTATAAACCAAAAAATAGAAAAACATTGTTTCACACACATTGTGTCCTCTCTTGGGAATGAAAGACATCTGTTATGGGAGACTAAGAGTTTTAATTCATTAGGGCTACTTAATTTAAATTCTATACTTAGTTAATTTGTATGAATTTAATTTGATATTAGTATCAGAGGAAAATTGAAGGTGGGAATATGAAAGAGTAGTATATAAGGGACATTAGTTCTTCTACTAAGGCTATTGATGTCAACTAAAAGTTTTTCACTTTTTTTGACATTTTATAGTAGTACAGATAAATGCACAGGGTTCCCGCCTAAAGCGGGTTCTACAGAAGGTGAGTAGTATTAGGATAGTAATACCCCCTAGCGAATCGGAGTCTTATGACCTAAAATGGGGCCAGTTCGTGACTCTGGCTATTCAAATTGCTGACCCAAAATTTTAGTTAAATTCCCGATTGACTCATGATCCTCGTAATGTGAAACAATAATCCTAACCCCAAATAGTAATCCTTGTTATTTCTTTATATTAATAATATTTAAACTTATATTTGATTTGTTGTGATTAAGGCTTTTCATTATATGAATTTGCGGTCACCAACTTTTCTTATTATAACCATTTGATTGAAGTTGTCTTGGCTTTGAAACTCTTATGTATAAACTACTATCAGTTACTATGTATATATCACTGTATAAGTATATGAATTTCATATCGTAGTGAATTGATCTAGATAAAAATTGCAAAATGTTTCATAACCCAAAATAGCATACTAACTAAATCCACCCAATCGTACTACATATCGGAATACGTAGTGTACCGCCTACCCGTAACCATACAATGTACCAAATTAACTCTCGATCTAGTTAACTTCCCCAATCTTACCCCTATTTTGGCAAGACAAATTCCTTTTTTTTTGGTTAAAATATACAGAGTTGATGATTTGTAATTAGGATTACCACAGCCGAAAAGGCGAAATTTTTCGCTAGACGATGCACTTGGGGTTTCTAACCTCTTTGGCTCTTACACGGTGGAAGTTATTCATGTTTGTTATGTAAAGTATTTCTTAAATTGTGTAGATAAAAATGAAAAAGAAGAACCTATCAAAATAAAAAAAAATTTTGAAAAATAAGAATAAAAAGAAAGAAGAAATGCAAACATGAATATCCCATTCACTTTTTTTTTCTCCGGCCTATGTTTTCATATGTAGGAAGTTTCGAATTGTTGAAGTATAAATACTAAAGTTATACCTTCTCTAACAGTTTAAGTTAGACAGTTAGACAATTAGAGAAGCTATAAGACATTTACACTTTACCACGTCCTGTCGTGTACGTAGGGGTGTTCATCTTACCCTACGGGTAGGAAATATACTCTTCTGTCTTCCTACCCGATATTTTGCGGAAGAGATTTTTCTTGGCCTACCTTATCCCGACAGGTGTGGTATTCCTGTCCGACTTCCTACCCGATTAGGAAGTCGAGTAAACATTTTTGTAACAATTAATTTTTGGATCATTTTAACAATTTAATTAAATAACATGCACCAATTTAACATCACAATAAATCAATTAAAACTAAAATCTAAAACAACTACAACAAGAATTATAATAAAATACAAAAAAGTATGAACATCAATCCACCATAATTGTTACACAAATATAATAACAATTAATTTAAGTTTAAACTTTAAACCATATGAAATACATTAAAATCATAATTGCTCCACTAGGGTTTAGGGTTTTTTTTAGTTTATATATATATATATATATTAAAAAATTATTGTGGGTAGAGTAGGGTAGGAATGCAGAAATGGATGGCTATTCCGCATTCCTACTCGAAAATTGTCGGAAGACCAAAAACTCTTTCGCATTTCTACCCGATTTTTGTAGCTAGCCGTTCAGTAGGGTAGGGTAGGGTAGGAACTTGCGGCCGGTCGAAAATTTGAACACCCCTACGTGTGTGTTGGATTTTGGGCTTAGCACGTGAATAATCAGGGTGCTGAGATTCGAACACAAAACTTCTTACTCTAGTCTAGTAAAGAGAAAAGAACTAGGATTTTGTATGAGGGAATATGAGAGAACCTGAAAGAGAAAAAAACTGGGGTTTAGGCTCAGTCAGTCTCTCCCACATATATTAATGTAATAACAATTATGTATTAGGAATGAGGATTGGAGAAAATAACTCCTAGCCCCACCTTATACCATTTATTTCCAGGTTTGGATAAATAATTTGGACCTACCACTATCACTTAAAAATAGTCCAGGCCTGGATGAATAGTAGTTATATAAATATTGTAAGATACACCTTCTAAACTAAACCCACCTATTTGGTGGGTCATGGAATCCAGGTTGGAGTACACTTTTGAAGCAAAATGCTTTTTTATCCCTTAGAAGTAAAAGACGTGTATGGATTGAACTTACTTGGGGTTCTTTGGTAATTGTAATGGTTATACCATCATTCAATACTCTATTCAAATAAAGTGTTGTATGGGATAAGTGTGGACCCACTACTTTTCAATACTTGAACCAAGTAAGGGATGAGGAGGCATGAATTTTAGATTCCAATCTGATCAATCCTAATACCTTAACCGAACACTCAGGGTTATACTTATTACACAATACCCAATATACCTAACAAACTTGTCTTCTAGTACTAATGATATAGGAGAGTGGATTATAGAGAAGATATTGAATTACGAGTAGACCTATTGATGCAGTTAACGACATATATGGGGAAGCTTAATTGCAAGAGATGCAAGTGAACTTTTAGTCACTCTAGGATTATATCAATCTAAAATAGGAATTAAGGCTAGCTTGGAAGTTTGAAGAGAAGCATTTAAATGAAGAGGGTTGAAAATAAGTAAAACTAAGAGAATATCGAATGTGATAAAGTAGAAATAGAAGTGGAGAGCTCGTGAAAATTGAAAACAAGAGATACAAAAGAGTGATCATTTCCATTACATTGGCCTGATAATAAGAATGTGGAAATTGGAGAAGAGGTTATTAATAAAATTAACAGGTCAGCTTAAACTGAGAAGTGCTTCTGCCATATTATGTGATTGATGAGTATGAGTGAGATTATCAAGAAAGTTTTCTAACGGAATTATGAAGCCAGTTATGATTTACTGCCCAGAGTGCTTGGAAACTAAGGACCACCATGTTTCTATATTGAGTGTATCCATTGTCAAGATGGTTAGGTTGATGGGTGCTAAGGCAAAATAGAATTAAAATGGAGCATATTTCAGAGAAAACCAATTATAATAGTTTAGGCATGTGCAGTGAAGATGAATAAGTACACCTGTGACCGCCGCTATGTGAAAATGGTTAGGGTAGGGGAAGATCAAAATTAACATGGTCTGAGGCAATCAATAAGGATCAGATTGCTTTTTGTTTTTGACTGTAAATGTATCTGTTAAACGAGTCAAATGGTAAAAAATGGTTGATGTAGCTGAGACCAAATAATTGGACTAAGTATTGTGGTAAGGTAGAAGACATTTACAATATGTTACTTATGAAAATGAAATATGATTTTAGTTCCAGATGTAATGGGGTATCAAATGACTGCTTTTGGATGTCACCCTTTTCTTTTCTTTTTTTGCTTTTCTCTCTTTTTGTTTTTTTGGCTTGTTTTTTGGTTTTTGTTTATCTTGGGGTTTTAATTTGTTGGTTTTTTTTTTTTTGGGGGGGGTCCAGTGGGGAGAGGAGAGGGAGAGGGAGAGGGACAAAATGAAACATATGGCAATGCTTACCTACATATTCTGTGGTTGCTCTTTTCTTTTTCCTTCCTCCCTCATATGTCTACCTGAACACTGCTTTTTTCAACAGGATTTGAGTACTTGTTTTTCACTCATTAGTTCCACTATGTGCTACTTTTTTAGTTCCCTCAGTTCATGGATACACATTCTGTTCTTAATTCAGGGTGCATGATGCAAAAACAGGCCCCTCTGCTGTCCTTTACATCTTTATCATCTTCAATATTCATTGTTTGTCTGACTATAGAATGCAGGGCAATTGTATGCAATCTGATGCTATTAAAATTTTCAACATCTTGGGCGTTCATCTCTCTTTGACCAGCTTCTTGCCGAATAAGTTACAAATTACCCCATTTTTAATAGTAACCACTATAAGCAACATCTTGGGTGTTGCTAGTTGGATCTTTTAATCTACAAATGCTGCTTTCTTCTTAAATCGATGTGCTTTTGCATTTTCCATTTCTGACTGCACTTTATTTATGCACTTATAAGGTAAAGTGCTCTGCAACCTGTTGACTGAGCTCACTTACACCTCCAACAAGTGACTTGACAAATTTACAGATGTTATTGTTAGCATGAATGTTAATTGGGTCCATGTCAGAATTGAAATAATTCTTACAATTACGTAGATTTGTCAAAATGTTTACCTTTTTGTCCATAACATTGTCTTTCCAAATTGCCAAAAAACTTCAAAAAGTTTGTTAGGGATAAAAATACTAGTATTAAAATCAGGAAAAAATTATGCTGCTTTTCCTTGATGTCTGATATACTTCTTGTGCTTTCCGACAAAGATGTGCTAGTTGTGCAGGTTTATTTGGCCATTCAGAATACACCTCATACTCCAGACAGTGCTAATTGATTAATGGAAATGACTCTTTTGCATGACCTAAGCTTGATTCTGTCTGTTTTATTTCTATTCCTTCATATAAGCCCCCCATATTCTTTTCTGCACTGTATACAGACTTCTCTTCCTGTTGAAGAGATTATAAAGGCCTTGGCAAAGATGGGGTTTGAGGTAATGGCCTCTGATGATGCTGGTCGGTTTGTTTGCAATTATGTGTACTACCATTCCCTGCATTTTGCTGAGCAGAATGAGATCCAATCACTCTTTGTACACGTGCCTCTCTTCTTAACTATAGACGAGGAGACCCAAATGCATTTTGCTGCTTCCTTGTTGGAGCTACTTGCCTCTTTAAGTTAGTGTTCCACTGTATTGCTCTCAGACCTTTATGTCTGGGAGCATATTTTCCTGTATTGTTTTGAGTCATGTATGTGAAGGTTGATGGGCTTGTTGTTATACTTCAATAAATAATTAAATGTATGTGAATGGCAAATGCATTTGTGGCCTATATGTCTCAAGTATCTTCTTGGGTGTCCTTGGAAGTTTGGAACCATTGTGATGAATGATTAAGCAATCTTTCATGGTAATTTGTGAATAAACTTGCAGCTCTCTGTGTTGATCTCCATCTTTGTGGCTCTGGGTTACTGTGATATCTATTTCTCTCTCTAAACCTCCTAACTTTATGAAACTCGCTTTTATGTGGCAGTTTGTTACTAAAATACTTTAGGCGAATAGTATATGTTTCAAGCTTCAGCTGTATAGAAAGCTGAGGTGTACGAAACTTAGATTACCCCCATCAATTGTTGCTGCTGAATGCTTGATTCTGATTTCTGATTGAGTGTCAACCCCCTTTTTTTGGGAATGTAACCTGAATCTTGTTCTTGTCAGTTATGGACCACTTATTTTCTTTCCTCATCCTTCTTTAGCAGTTTTGCATTTTAGTGTAGAAGTTATTGCCACATTAGAGTTCTTAATCATAAATAATTCTCTCTGAACAATGGCAGTTAACAACCGAAGTACCCAATCTTTCAATAAATGTAAGATAGGGATTTGGATGCGACAAATAAAAGAAAATAATGTTAATTTCGATGTAGAATATATTAAGATGACTTGCAGTTTTATCTGATCTTACATTACGATGACATGCAGATTTCTCTGTTATTACGTAAAACCATAGCAATTAGGTGAAACTAAGAGAAGTGCTGCTATTTGCTAATCATGAAGGCATCAAGTGTCATAACCTCTTGAAACATTCTTGTTCGTATTTGTTTTTGTGTAAATGTAACCTAGAGGCAAGAGCTTTGTTACTCCTCGAACACCATCCTATTGTATGACTGTTTGATGAGCGGGTTTGAGTAGGTTATGGCATTCCTGTCCTTAAATGCATGCTTCGGCCTGTTCTGCCATAAGTATCTCTCCTTCAGCTAGGCCTATAACCGCATGCTGTCAGTGTTGGAGTTTCTCCAGAGAGGATTGTTAGGCTTTTTCACCAAACCTTGTGGTTCATTTGCATACATATATGGTTCTGGTTCTCTAACTATAACCCCTTACAGGCTGAACTGGATTGAGATTGAGAATTTTTTTTGTCGTTGCTGTCGTCGTTATTTTTTGGGCAGTTGTGGTATATCCACTTTAGCCTTTTTGCACTCTATGTAAAGCCCTTAATGACAATCTCCTGCCCTAGCTGTAAGAGAATATTCGCACCCGACCTTCTTCAATAAACATTCTAGCATCTTCTTTCTGTCATCTGTTTGTTTCCATATTATCTATATTTATCTTCAATAAGGGGAAGAAATTTTGTTACTGAAGTCATTATATATGGGTTTATGTTAAGATGGCTCTTGCCGTGCATGTGCTGGAATATGACTTGATTTCGTGTAGCTCATTAATCAGTTTTTGTGGTTAAAAAATGGGTCATTCTGGTCCTAATGGTGCACCAGGAACGGGATTCGTGTGTCGTAACGTGTTATGTAATCCTGAATCAGGTTATATGTTTTTTTTTTTTTTTTATGAGCTTCATCAATGGTTTCTGAAGATGTAATTCTAGTGCAAAAGTGGTAGTGTGATCAACCAGGTTTCTTTTGGCATTGCGAAGTCATGTTTACAACAGGCAAGATAGTTTGATGCAGATGCAGACCAATGGGTGGTAATGCCTGCCCACTGGCAAAAGGTCAAGGAAATTGTGACCTAATGATAGAAGAGCCAGTGAATGGCGGTCGTAACTTTAACTGCCTTAAGTGCTCGGTCTCTAGATTCTATCACTAGACCAATGGTGTCTAGGATATCACTCTACAATTATTTTTTATATTTGCCGTATGAATCATATCAAGATGTCTATATATGTATAGACAGGAACAGATCTGAGAATTACGAGCAAATCTTCAGAAAAAATAGTATGGAGGGGCGATTTTTTTTAGTGATTACCATATATATCTATATAATCAAGTAGAACGATTTTGAATTCAAGAGATAAAAAGCGGCTCAGATCGTTTCGAGATCAAAAAAGACATCATTCAACGGCCAACAATATTTCAAACTGTCTCAAGTTATTTACGTCTCAAATCGTTTCGATCCGACGTACCATATTAGCTCTTGAAAATTTTTTGCCGCTCAAAACTTTTAGTTTCCAAAACTAACATCCCTAAATTTAATTCCCCAATTCAATCAAATTCGATAATTAAGCGATTTCTCATTATTCTCCTTGATTTCCTTGATTTTATTTCCTATATTAAGGAATCACTTTTTATACTGAGACATTGATTGTCCTTCACACTCTTATCTTTAATGATTCTCTTTCCAAACTGAGACACATGTCTCCCCAAAATTCTATCCTAATGCAACTGTTTTCATCTTTACTGTTCATATCACACACACTTTACTGTACATATATATAGTACAAAGATCGAAGACATACTATATCTATATGTTATATCTTAGAAAAGTTTCATCTAAACACCATGTAGTTGAGTTTAAATTCAATGACAACCTCTATAACAATAATTTTTGTCTCTGTCAGTAGATATTTTATATAAAAATACTAAAATTACTCTTTATTATGTAAATAGACTAAAATGTCATCAATTTTTTTTCCATTATATATGCGCTAGCCGACCAACAAACATAATTTCAATCATTATATTATCCCAATGCATTTTTTTATTTTAAAACGTTGTATTATAACTTAGTTATAATATTAGTCATCATATTATCACTCATTTGGTTACATAATCAAGTTTTTATAATTTTTATATTTTTTTATTATAATAATTTTTATAGTTAAAAATAATTTTTCTATAATAAAAATTACAATTGATAAAGTCAATGTCTAAATCTCATTCATTTTTAATTTCTCTGTTATCATATGTTCTCTACAATGTCGCCCGATCGCTCCTCACACATCATTCTTCATATATAAAATTTAAAATTATTTGATAAAATTTAATATTAATAGAATAAATTTGATCTTAATTTTGATAAATTTAAATATTAATTTAGTTTTAATTTGATAAAATTAAATATTAATTTAGTATTAATTTGATTGAATTTAATGTTAATTGAATAAATTTGAATGTTATTTTAATAAAACTAAATGTTCATTTGGTGTTAAATTAAAGAAATGACATTAATTTGATAAGGTTAAATTTTAAATTAATGGAATTTAATATTCTATTTAATAAATTAAATAGTTTAATTTTATAAAATTGAATTTCAATTTGATGTTGATTTGATAAAAATAAATAATAACTTAATATTAAATTAAAGAAATAATATTAATTTGATGAAATGAAATTTTAAATTAATATAACTAAATGCTAATTTGATAAAATTAAATATCAATTTTATGTTGATTTGATGAGATGAAATGTTAATTTAGTTTAAATTAAATAAAAAAAATTAATTTAATCAAAATAAAGGCTAATATAATAGAACTAAAAGAGAGTATTGAATTTTCAGAATCAAGAAAGGGTGTTGTTAAAATTAGGTCTATTTACAGGGGGTGTTGTTAAAATTAGACTTATTTATAAGGGGCGTGGATAAAATTTACCATATAAAATACTGGGAGATATTTTTATAAATCAACCATCGCAATTAATGGTGTAACCTGATAATCACTAATAAGGAGTGACAGTAAAATTTAAAATCGAAAGGAGCTGTCATTGAATTTAGAACAAACTACAGGGGATCTGAATGAAATTTTCTCTTATATCTATACAAATCTATATAATAAAAACATACCGAAAATTGAATTTTATCCTCTATACATTTTTCATCCCCCAAAATCATCACATCACTCATTTCTATCGCATGCTCAACCATTTAATATTTGATTAATTTGTAATTTAACATAATTTTTATTTCAGATATTATCTATACACGATAGTATAGATCTGTTAAAAAAATTTATCGAATTATATATTTTGAAAAAATTTTATTAATATTTTTAAGAAAATAATGGGTAAAAATAAATTTTGAATGATTTAATCAAACAAATGAAAGAAAGAAAAAATATTATTTAATATAGTGATATTAATTTTTTTGGATTCAAATATTATGACTCTATCATATTTTTAAGTACGAATTATGACTAGTACATATATGTTGCCTAATTTTAGAGAATTTAGTGGATATCGTGAAGTTAGTAGAGAAGCCCGTGCACCGACCCTTTAGCTTTTTCCAAGCACGTCGCCTACCATTTGATCAATTATTACACTAGCCTTAGCCCTGCGCATGTTTGTGTGTGTGTGTCTGAGAGAGAGAGAGAGAGAGAGAGAGAGCCGTCCCCGCACTTGCAGCTCCATACCCTCCCACCACCCTTACTTTCCCCACATTCCCTGTCTCATTGCCATACCACTTTTGGGCACTTCTTCATGTTTTTCCTTTTTCTGATCTACTTCTCAGCACTAAATTTTAACATTCAGTGTTTTCAACCTTTCTTGACTTTGGCTATAGAGACAATTTTTTTTTTTTTTTCAGTTTAACGGTTATAGATGTTTGAGTCAGATATTTTTTTTTTAGCTTACGTGCACTTTAATTGAAAAACAATAATAATTACCCTAATCCAATTATTTTTTAATCAACTTTTTCGTGCCTACCCACAATAGTATATAAATATTATTTGATAAGAACATCATTATTTGTAGAATTTCAAAACAAATGAATATGACCCAAAGTGCATGTCCATTCGTAGAGTATCGATTCTAATAAATAATTAGCTATTATCACTTTTAAATATCGCATTTATGATAAACAGGAAGCACCCATCGAGTGAAAAAGAACAACCCCAAAATAGCCACAATAAAAATCCCAATGACAAAGAGATAAGAAGTCTATCATTGTTTTTGACAAGAATTACCCATTAGTCTCTTGATTATCCAAATATTGGGAGAATTTTGAGGGTACCCATTAAAGTCAAAAAGAATTTACTTGGTCATCTTTTCCATAGCTATAAAATTAATTCATTGTGACATGGACATCAAGGGATCTAGTTGTCCAAACATTTTTTCACATGCAAGTTTAAGATTAAGTACGTCTAATCCTTCTCAAAAAAATTCTGGAGTAACAATGACCTTGTACACTATGCCACCTCTTTCATCTTCTTCTCAATCCTCCAAAAAACTAGGTGAGTGTTATTGCTAATACTAAAGCAATCATAAAACCATATCGTCTAAAAACCATTTGCTCCCACCGGTGCCTTTTGTCTAGTGGTAAAGATAGTTCCCAAGGAGCAGGATTTGAACCTTGTCATGCAGGGAATGAAGTACTTTGAAGGGCTCAATTTCTTTCTCACTAAAAATCAAAAAGAAAGAATGTGGGATGTGGCATGCGTAGTTACTCGGGCCTTCAATAAGTCCAAGTGGGAAGAAAGAGCCCAAAATGGTTATTTTCCTTTTCCAACACCCTCATTTCCAACATTACATGCATCGACAATTCTCGATAAAAATATTATTTGAACAGCTATTGCGATTTTTTAACTAGTTTCCCTCTGTACAATCCTTTTCAACTTAAAATTATCAAATCTCTCCCTCTCTTTCTCCCACACTCACCTCTACCCCCACCCAAAATGGCAACCCCCCACCCCCAGTGACGGAGAGAACTGCCTGGTTGAATTGAAAGTCTATTCTGTAAACTGAATCACCAACTTCTTAGGCTCTTAGCTGATCTTGAAAGCCACCTTTGCTATCTTAGTAGTTAGTATTGAAGCTTTTTTCATATTGGAAATGGCCACCCGATATAGATACATGTATGCACTACTTACACTAATTTGGAATCAATTCCCATCATGGACACATAATATGTTCATGACCTTGTTGGAACGAGAATTATGACAGCCTCTTGGGGTCTGCATAATTTTTCCTGATGAAAACACACACACACACACACACACAGAGGGGGAGAGAGAGAGAGAGAGAGGGAGGGAGATTATCATGTTGCATAAATGATCTATACTTCATGCTTTGCATGTGAAGTACCAACCAAATATGCACATTCATGCATAACCTTTCCCTGTATTGCAGAGTTCGTTGTCTGTCCACAAAATTCTAATGTTTGGGATAACTCTCTCTCTCTCGTCCACATGATTGCTTGGCAGTTGGCAACTACTAGCCCTAGTTTATTTAACCGAACTTCTTCTGTACTATGTCAAGAAATTAAGCAATTTTGACAAAGATTCTACTTAATTAACGATAACTGTCAACATGAGTTACCTTTAGTTTAATACACAACATGATGATTGTTTCAAGTCGAAAGTTATTTTTAAAGGTTTGAGAGTCCTCTTCTATACCAACTAAAGGGAGGTTCTAGCTAGCTTTTGTCTGCAAAGTCTGGTGATACTCAAGCCTTTTAAAATCTGATATATGGTTGCAGACATATTGAATCAGATTGTTTATTATTCTCATATACAAATGCTTTTTTCTAAGAACAGTCATGCACCAAGTACTCAAGAGAGAGAACATTAGTCATGTACTTATAGAATTACCAAAATGTAAACTCCAATTAGCTATAACATTATGTTTGGGGAAATGTAGTTAAAACTTATCTTGGCAACATCAAACATAATACACCAACAGCCTCAAAAAATAAATAAAAACAGGAGGTTTTCTTTTAGTCTTGTCCAAGGATCAGTATTATTCCCAGAACTAAACTTTTCATCATCTCTGATACAATTACACATAGCCTTTCACTATATATATATATATATATATTTGTTTAAACACTTAATTTACAACACCTACTCTAAATTTATCAGAATTCAGCACCTATCAACATCATTTTGTGGCAATGATTGTGGTATTCCCTCCAACAAGCAGAAAACTGGTGGAATGGTAAGTGTTTCAAGCGCGCCATAGGCATTCCAGCAAAATGGTTCCAAAATAGTCTGCCCGTGAGCTGGAAACAGCTCCACATCCGAGAGCGTGAGGTTTGTGCAAGGGACTGTGTCACTGCAGGCCAAATGCATCGGCGGGCTTCTCACATCATAAGTACCCTTAATGTTTGCATACAAGATGTCGGAAATAAAGACTGCAGATGTTTGGTTAGTGCAGCCCTTACTGTTGCAGTAGTACTGGTCTATTATGATAGGGTTTCGGACAGTGTCCATTCGAATGTTATTGAAGGTTACTTTAGATACTGACCCTGATCCACCTTGCCATGTTTTTATTCTAACCCCATTGTCTGAATGCTTGATCACTGAGTCAGTCACCGTGATATTCGAAACACATGCTCTGGAATTGTAAATACCAAGGCTGCCAATGCTGGCACCAACAGAATTGTTTTGGTTTAGTGACAAAGAATCATCAAAAAGGGAAGGGGGTATGGGCTAAATCCATTAAATAACTTGTGAGAGTGAACTCTTAAACCCCTTTCTATATAAAATATGAGATTTGTTTGGTGGAGAAAGGACAACTTTAGAAACCCATAGCATTTATTCTGTCACTTTTCTTAGTTGTTGTGTTCTCTTAGGTTTCAGTAGTGCAGTTTTTTTTTTTAAGACTATCAAAAGGTAATATTTTTATGCTTTCAGAATAAAAAGGAGATTCTGAGTTATTCAGTGAATGTACCTTATTCCATGGCTTGGACCACATGTAATGTTCCTTATATCAACATTGAAACAACCAGCTCCGATTGATACACAGTCATCGCCTACATAAAAGGTTAGCAGAAAGAGCACAATAAGCTTGAATGGTAAATGGAAAATTTAAATAAGCAAAAAAATTTGAGGAGCTCGAGGAATTACCATTGGCCACAATTGAATTGAAAATTTTGACATCGTTGGTCTTCTCTATGTGGATTCCATCGGTGTTGGGACTCTGAGCGGGTGCTTTTATGTATAGTGAATCTATAAGGACATCATGGCAACCATCAAACCGAAAATGGAACTGCGGGCTGTTCTTGAGTTTAAGTCCTCTTACTGTCAAATTGGAGCTCATAAAGAACCTTATAGCCTGTTATGTAGAAGATTTCAAGGGAATTTTCATGATTAAGTATAAATTATCCTAGAAATCACGTTCAGAAAGATAATATACTGTGATTAAGACTTACAACTGGGCTATCACAAGGGCCAGGCAGAGTTGTTCCATTTACTCCCTGTTTCATCAATATAATTAGTTAGTAAAAGCCTTGTAACATTGGCCAACAAAAAAAAAAAAAAAATGCAAACAGCAGGTCTTATAAATTGAAATTGTCCAGATACTCTAACAAAAAAGCGTGCTTACTTTGTGAGGTTTGCAGGGAAGATTCCACCATTTCTCTCCTCTCCCATCTATTAGTCCACCACCTTGCATTGACATTCCATTTATTCTGTAGAAGACGAGCCATTGTCGCTTGCTGTTATTTTTTGGCCACGAATCTGGTCCATCCGGTGACATTAGGGTTCCATCAATCTTTGAAAAATAAATGAAAATATGATCACCATCAGTGCATGTTCTTTTTTTCCAAATTCAATCTTGAACATCAGCTAAAGTTTCAGCTCACCAGAATGTCCACATTACCTGAAACACTAATCCATTTTTGCAAGGTCCTGTAAAAATTGTAGATTGCAGCATGAAAGAATATTGATTGGGAACAAGAAGAATGGCGGATTCAACTTGGCAAGCAGCATCCCAAGCCATCTTGAATGCTTGTGTATCATCTGTATCACCATTTCCAACGGCTCCAAACGATAATACATTGAAAATTGCTGCAGAATCAGAAGAACTGACCGTGGGACTTGGGAAAGCAGCCTTGGGTGCAGGAGAAGGCGGTATAGAAATTTGAGAAGCTAAGCCAAAATGTGGCTGTTTTGGGTAGTAATGCAGCCTGCTGCAATGGAGTGAAGGAAAGAAACAGCACAAGAAAACAGAGAAAACAGAGAAAACAAGGATGAAGACCTGAGAAAATTCCATGGTATATAGGCTTGGCCTTTTGCTGAAATGAAGTTATGATGTTATATAGAACAAAATGGAACAAAAATAGAATTTGGCTTCTTATTCAACAGAATTTTGCTGTGGTGGAAGTCTCATGAACTGAGCCGTTCTTTTCTAGTCAACAGACTTCCGCTATCCTAGAGGATGTCGTTTCACTAGGTTGTGAATATCCTGCTATTGAAATTCAAAGAACCCGACTCGAATTCTGGCAGGCTTCGTCACTATCTATAGCTAGAGATCATAGGCATGGAGAGTGAAGGCACCCACGTTTTGAGAAGTTGAAAGAAGCCAAGACTAAGTTGTGTTTGTGACCACTTGGAGCACTAAAACAACTTGCAAGACTTCAGAACTGAGATACCAGAGGATGTTGCTGAATCAAGTTGAATGCAGTCCCACATTTATACTTGGAATTCTTAGTGGAGGTTAACTTTTGAAGGGTCGGTATGTATGCGCAATGCATTATTTTTAATGGGATCTAAACCGACCGACCAGTTTTCTATTTACAGAATGGGTTTTCTGGTAAGAATGGCTTTTCTTTATAAGTGGCATAAGAGAACTCAAAACAGTCATGAAGGAATGGATAACAATAGTATATCAGATCTCCATGTGTTCTTCAGATTACTTTCAGTATCTCTGGTCCCTAAACTAGTCATCTTGTTAAGGAAGTCTTTTGTTTCAGTTCTTCTGATGGAACCCATTCTGGTATCTATATGGTTAGTGGTTACACATACATTTCACAATCTCCCAGCTTCAGTTTTCAGTTGGCAAAACAAATTGGGCGAATTGCACTTTGTACCATGAAAGATTTAGAATTCTCATTTTATACACTCAAAAATTAAATTTTTTATATTGCACCTTCAATGTATTAAAACTATTGTAATGTGACCCTTCCGTTAGTTTTTGCTACTCATTCCCTTACCCTCAATGAGATGGGTTTTGACAGAATGCATTGCAAATTTTTAAGATATTGAGAGTGCCATGTAAAAAATATTATCTTTGAGAGGGCAAAATAACAAAATTTAAATCTTTCCATGTCCAATGTGAGATTCAAAAAATAAAAATTTCATCGCATATAGAAAGGAGCTCGAAGCCCCAGAACTCGCTTAACCCTAGATGATTAAGCCCATGATTTGGGTGCAACGACCCCATACAGAGTGAGTTCACAATCGAAATCACTTGAATTTCGGACTCTAAATTGTGACTCCATCACAAATTTATTTATCTTAAAACTCGTATGACAAAATACAAAATAAATATTAGATAACTTCATGTGTGATATTATTATATATAATTTTAAATAATAAGAAACCAATCACAAATTAAAGTAAATACTAATAAAATATGTGTTGAAAGTGATTAAGAGTTCCAAAGGGAATTATGACCCAAAATAATGTAATAGCAAGTCTCTGCCCCAATCACACATGTATAGGAGAAGGTGTCGTACCGATTACCCATACTCGTACACATACCAAATTGTCCTATGGTCTATGTAAATGGTTTAGTAGGTACTATTACCTAAACATATGTGAGTTTGGTCTGATATTACTATCATAAAAGATATAAAGAGAGGTTATGGTATACTGGAATTAGAAACCATCCTGCGTATCGTGTGGGCGTCGAAATATGGTTAAAAGTCACCAATCTGCAATTCAACATTGGTTAATGTCTTCCATCAAGTTCAGGGTTTGGCTACAGCCTCCAACTTGAAAATGCACTTCAGATTTTCCATACTTATGACTCAGAAAAGCCTGTCAACATTACTTGCCATTGCATAAGGTCACACACAACCCACTTCAGTTGTTTTTTAACACTTATGTTTTAACTTTTTGATTTACTTATGATTTTTTTGGAAGTTCTGGGTTTGTATGATCAATAAAAGTACGTTTCAATGCTTTAAAGAAGCAGAATGTGATCTTATTTGCTTCTTTTTGACCACACTTGATCATGTCAGCTTTGATTTCCTTCTATTTAATTATGAGAAACCAAGAGTAAACATTTAATAGTTATACCATATCAGCAATGCCACGTGGTGTAACTATTACATTAAATATTTTTTCACTACTAATGGATGATTACGGAGTTGGATCCACTCCAATACACATTTTCTCTTTTTTTTTTCTTGACGGATCATCTATCATGAATTCAAATGATACCCATTTTATATAGATGAATTTCTCGTTAATATATGATAAAATGATTGTCAAGAAGAAAAAGAAAATGAAAAAATACACATTGGAGGAGATTCTAGTCCGATGATTACATCATGTGAAATTGTTAACGTAATGTAACTATTACATTAAATTTTTTTCTCGAGAACTAGGGTCTGGTTGACGTTTACGCTCAATAGTGCCATTCCAACCATTATAAATTGAAGGTGGAGAGAGAATACTTTACATATATACATCTGTATATACTATATTATGGGTATGCCGTTATAGCCATATAGAATGGAGATGGATAATGTTTTTAGATGGCAAGCCAAAGAAAGTGGGGGTGGCAGGGAATGATGTTATTACTTAATGTGTATAGAAACCGTCAAAATCGTTAGTCTAGAACCTTCCCTAGATGGATGACTTAGAGTCCAACAAACAAGAAATTTTTGTGTGAGTTTAACATAATACTTAACAATATTACGGGTGCACATTAGTAATAAAAAATTTGTTAGATGATATTTGTATTATAACACTTAAAAATGTTACGTGGTGTACATCAGTAATATAAAATTTGTTAGATCATATTTGCAATTAGTTAATTTCGTAGAGTCCATTATAAAATCTCAACATATTTCATCGTCATGATGCTATCAAGTTCAAGATCCAAAAGTGTCATTGACGAGAGGAGATTAAGCGTTACAGCAACATTATTCAACTTTCGTATGCACTTTTATGCTTAAGACAAGGTAATAATCTAAATACCTGAGATGAACCCTTATTTATTTTAACTTAGGTTGATTAGGATGAAAATAAAATTGAAAGCAATCCGATTATAACTCTTAGGTGATTTTAAAAGAAAATATTTTCTAAACTATTTATGAGTTTTAAAAACATAATCTGAGTTATAATCGAACCCCCTTTTGAGCACATCTTTTAGTGCTCAAGAGGACAAATTTTTGCATGATTTTATGCTTACAAACCTATAGGGACCGATCTATGCTTTGTGACTTTCACTAAAGTTGACTTAAGAAAGGAAACGAGAAAAGGTCACAGAAGGTAGCACAAGGCTCGCTCGAGTGGTTTCCATGGTCACTCGAGCAATGCCTATGGTTGCTCGAGCTATGCTTACCTTAATCGTGTTTGAAACGTTATTTCTATTCTAGCGACAACCATCCTATAACCGACTTACCACCAATTAAGTGGTTGTTCGCGAATTTGAATTTTCTTATTTAATATGACTATCGTTATTCCGCATCTACAAATAGTGAGAGCCTTTACCATACCTAGGTTAAGTCTCTAGAGAGATTTTTAAGAGAGAAAATCATTCTTTTATCTTAAGAGTTTCTACCACAACCTAGATCCCTAAGATCCACAGGCTACCACTAAAAATTCTACCCAACCTCACAAATTGAAGTTGAAAATCTTGATGGTTTGATTAACCCACTGAAATGTGCATACCAAGGATTGTTGGCGTACCCATAATAGCTTGAGATCTAGACGAATCGTGCGGCAAGGAGGTCCAAGTGAAGCTGCGCTAGACGTTGGAGGAGGGCATTCGACAGAAAGAAAGCAAGGAAAGAAGCATCTAACCATGATATTGATTGAGGTATAAGTCTTGAGTACTTGTATGTCTTAACGAGTACTGGATTAAGTTTTGGTGAACTCCGAGTGGTTCCCCGTGATTTTTCCCTGAGAGGGTTTCTATGTCAACAAATCGCTTTTGTTATTTACTCTTTATCATATACACTCGTGATTGTTTGCTACACGTGCATTATGTGTTTGTGAATTTGATTGATTGAATATTCATCCATACATAGTTGTGCTTTAAGATTTAGTTTGGGATCGTCATGAGATTGATTGTTAGCGAATTAATTAAAATTAATCATCATGGTTAAAGATGATTGTTGTGACTAAAAGGGTTCTCACTATTATTTGCTATATCATTGTGAGAAAAGGTAATTGTACTGACTTAGGTTTTTATTAGTATTGAATTGAGCGTAAAATTGAAAAAATTATTTGCCCCCTCTAAATATAGTGTCTTGAGCTCCACATGTATAACCATGAGGAAAGATCCATGTTGAGCTTCCTCTCCTGAAACAACAAAATTGTACATGTTCAATGAATGATTGACACCTTCACCTTGTTAGAATTTTTTTTTTGAGAAACGTAACTTTTGTGTCTTATAAATTACTTTTGTGGCAACCTTTCATTTGGTACATACATTACATAGCATTGTCATATGGTATTTTAAACTCATAAAAAAATTTATCATAACAAATAAATATACACTAATAGAGCCCCTTTTTCATTTACCAAAATCTAGGCTTTTTCTTCCCTCAATACATTGAATGTTTTAAGCATTTAAGGATTATAAACATTTGGATAAATAATTGTTCTTAAACTTTGTCTCGTATTTTAAAATAATTCTTAAACTTTCAATCTTTTCAATTTACTCTTTCAACTATTAGTTTCAACCTCAATAAAGCATTTCGTTAACTCCACCATCTTCCCCTCTCGCTTCCCTTTTAATTTATTTCTCTTCAAAACTTATCACCCCTTTCTCTCTCTCTCTCTCTGTCTCTCACACACACACAAACCCAGAGTAGAGCAAGCATCACAAAAGGCAGTCATTGCCTATATCCATCTGTGAGCATCTCAATCATTGTTTGCCAAAACGTTGTTGTAGAGAGTAACTAACAAACAATCAACCATGGCAAACAACAAACTCTTGGGGTTCAAATCAACCTAAATTTTATAGGTCCAATCAACCCAATCGCAACTAGTTCAATGTTTCTGTTAAAAATGGATTTAACTAACCTGAATTTGACGAA